AAATTATATATACAGGGTCCCAGTTAATAATTCCAAACAATATAAAAAATATAAAATGTAAAAAGAATCATTAAATAAGGATCTAAGATGTAAACTAAGAAATACGCTAAACAAACAGCAAACAGTGCACTAAAAGATCAAAGATATACACTAAACACTAATAATGCTAAACAATAGGGCGTAACAACAGCAGCCCGGACTTGAGAAGAGGGCGACAATTTTTAACAAATAGCCATAACTTGTTCAGTTTTACATTGTTATGCTGAAATGTTATGTGTTGGGAACCAACTGAACTCATTACTAACTGATCACTCAAGATTTTGAGGTATAGTGTGAGGATGAACATAATCAAGGCTTGATCAAAATGGCTACGTCATCATTTATCAACGTGAAATGATCTGTTTGAAACTCTTTCATAACAGCCAAACAAATGAGTGAGGAAAGAATGGTGCATGAGATCAACGTGCAGCTTTCGCATTATTGTGTGCTCTGTACTGGTCCATTGTGGTGAAGAATAAACTGAGCTGCACGGTGTAGTGACCAAAGGAACGAGATCGTAGATACAACTGACCTAATTGAGCTTTCTCTGCAGGTAGCTGCACTCCCTTAGAGATATGGTGAGAAGTTCAGTTCTCCAGGTGAGACTCGGAAAAGAGTCACTGCTCCTTCACATGAAGAGTATCTAGTTGAGTTGGTTCGGGCGTTTGGTAAGGATGCCCACTGGATGCCTCCCTAGGGAGGTGTTCCACGTATGTGCAACTGGGATTAAAACCCATAAGAAAATGCAGGATATTATGTCCCTATACTATATGCCCATTATGATGTTGTATGGAGACTATGTCTCTTGGTTGGACTTGGAATGCCTTAAAATTCTCACAGAAGATCTGGAAGAGATGACTGTGGAAAAAATGTCTAGGCCTCCTTGCTCAAACTGCTTCCCTCGGGACCTGACTCTAGAACTAGCAGCAAATATTTGGATGGATGGAAGGATGGAAGGCAATGGGTGATATCCATTTCTTCAAGGAATGCTAGGTATTTAATTAAAACAAGTTCACTACCACCACTGTTCATTGATTCGTGTAAGGTTGGTATTTAAACACTTGCATGCTGCTGTAGTTTGACGACAAAGACGTGCCCTTTGTATGTTGGGAAAGTGCTGTCAATCTGGAGCCTGGTGATGGAAATCATTTTTGTGCTTCAATTTCTCCCAGATGTGTTTTAGCCGCTGAGCCAGAGTTCATCCATCCATGTATCCATTATCTTTTACCCGCTTCTTCCTTTTCAGGTCGCGGGGGGTCACTGGTGCTCATATCCAGCAGTCACTGTGCGAGAGGTGGGGGACACCCTGGACAGGTCTCCAGTCCATCACAGGGACACATAGAGACAAACGAGACAAACAACGAGTCACTCTTTCACTCTCACCTAGGGACAATTTAGAGTTACCAATCAGCCTAACATGCAGAAAGGACCCAGGCGGGATTTGATCCTGCAACCTTCTTGCTGAGAGGCAACAGCTCTATCAACTGAGCCACCGTGCCGCCCAGCCCAAGATCACTTGTTTTAATTTTAGAGTTGTGCAGCTGTTACTGACTGGTTTTCTTTTTAAGACAGAACCTTTGTTCTTTGGGGGCTCCTGAGGTGGCTGTGGCTCAGAATGAAGATCGTTTGTCCTTTGAAAGGTTGGTAGTTAGAATGCATTTTCTTCAACACATTTTGGAGTGTCCTTGGGCAAGACACTGAACTCCACGTTGCGCCTGAGCTGTGAATCAGCATGTGAGTGTTTGTGTAAGTGGGGGAATGTGACTTGCAGTCTTGAAATGTGCGGTAAGAGAAGAAGATTACAGAATACTGATCAATATACCATTTATCTTGTTTCAAAGAGCTGGAGCATTTTCAGATTAATATTATTATTACTAGTTTGAACAGGTTTAATAAAGACAGAACTAAAAATCATAGCTGGGTTATTGATTAAACCTGCATCTCACTGGGCTTTGAATGTTGGCAGCTAGTTGGAGACACAAAATAGTGAGTGAATGTAAAACTTTTCTTGGAAGCACTGAACTGGTACTTAGGACAAGTTTAGCCACATCTGTATATAAATTCTTAAGTTTGAGCACAATTGCAGCAAATGGCATGTTCATTTTTGTTGTAATTTAGTCAAACAGCTTTTTAAATTATGTCTCAGTTTAATCTGATTTTATTCTATAATTGTTTTCAATTACAACATTTTTCAGTCAGGTCATCTGGACAGTTTCTTTTTTTGAGCTGAAACGTTTCACCTTAGATCCAGAAGGCTTCATCAGTCAAGGAAACACACAACACAAAACTGATTCTTCCCCCAACAACTTACTCCAAAGTGGAACAAACCAGTTCTGCTTGTGATAAGATGGTCTCTTTGGTACGCCCCCTCCTCCATTGCCGGCCCTCTTCCTTGTTGACAGTCTTGTCAAACTGGTTAAAAACATCTTATCACAAGCAGAACTGGTTTGTTCCACTTTGGAGTAAGCTGTTGGGGGAAGAATCAGTTTTTTGTTGTGTGTTTCCTTGACTGATGAAGTCTTCTGGATCAAAAACGAAATGTTTCAGCACAAAAAAAGAAACTGTCCAGATGACCTGACTGAAAAATGTTGGATTGTATACCTGGGCTATTGAGCATGGACTTTGTTGTTTCCAATTAGGCACAATTTCCATCCATCCATCCGTACATCTGTCCATCCATCCATCCATCCATCCATCCATCCATCCATCCATCCATCCATCCATCCATCCATCCATCCATCCATTATCTTCTGCTTGTTCTGAAATTAGGTCTCAGGGGCAGCAGCTGGATCAGGGAGGTCCAGACATCTCTTTCCACCGCCACCTCTTCCAGTTCTTCTGGGAGGACTCCAAGGCGTTCCCAGGCCAACTGAGAGACATATAGTTGCTCCAGCGTGTCCTCCCAGTCAGACATGCCTGAAGCACCTCCCTAGGGAGGCGCCCAGAGGGCATCCTTACCAGATGACTGAGCCACCTCAACTGGTTTCTCTGGATTATGGAGGAGCAGCGCTTCTACTCCGAGTCTTTCCTGGATAACTGAACTTCTCACCCTAGTTCTAAGGGAGAGTCCAGATACTCTGCAGAAGAAACTCATTTCAACCGCCTGCATCTACGATCTCATTCTTTCTGTCACTACCCAGAGCTCGTGACCGTAGTTGAGGGTAGGAACGTAGACCGACCGGTAAGAGCTTAGCCTTACAGCTCAGCTCTCTCTTCACCACAATGGACCGGTACAGAGTCCACAATACTACAGATGCTGCACCAATCTGTCTGTTAATCTCACGCTTCATTCTTCCCTCACTCATGAACAAAACCCCAAATACTTGAACTCCTCCACCTGAGGCAGAACCTCACCTGAAGAGAGCAATCCACCTTTTTCCGATTGAGGACCACGGCCTCAGATTTGGAGGTGCGGATTCTCATCCCAGCCGCTTCACTCTCAGCTGCAAACCACTCCAGTGAGAGCTGAAGATCACAGCACGATGACGCCAACAGGACCACATCATCTGCAGAGAGCAGAGATGGAATCCTGATGCCACCGAACTGAACTCCCTCCGCCTCCTGGCTGCACCGAGGAATTATGTCCATAAAAGTTATGAACAGAATCGGTGACAACGGGCAGCCCTGGAGGAGTCCAGCTCCCACCCTGAAGGAGTCCGACTTACGGCAATGGGAACCACTCTCTCGCACCGCTCGTCACAATTTGTTTTCCTTTAAAAGGCGGTGTGTTGGTAAATGGTGATTGTTGTGAGACTGGTGAAAAACAGATTCTCTCAAAGTTGAGAAAAACTGGCAATAAAAAACATAAAGTTCAGTTGTATCTGAGCATTTAGTATCAAGTGACCTCTGAGCTGTGGGTTCATGTTTTCAGTGGCCACCAAAAACTATTTTATGCCTGTTTTTGAACTTCACAGTTTATACAATCAGTTTGACAAATATTGCATTTTGATATCTAGCAGAGAACCACATGAGAGGAAACCAGTAGAGAAAGGAAAGCGTGACAGTCGCTGCCTTTTATACTAGAACTTTAAACAGAAATCATCTCATGAGAAGAAACAAAGTTACAGACGTTTTGCTCAAACTTTGTAAATGTCTTTATGCCTCATGTAATTTGTGAGATCTTGCAAGAATTGTTGAACAGTTCATGAAATGTTTTGCCAACAAATAGGTTAATGCCAACAGTTATTTCTTAAGGTTTTAGGCAACAATGTTGTGTAATGTGTAGTGCTCAGAGAATGTTTTAGGCTGAAGCTCAGCTACTACCACTTCAAATTTTAGCTTCACATCTTTAAAATCGGATGATTTATAGTCGTTTTTATGTTGTGCAAGTTTGCTAGAGGCCATCTTGAGTCAGCTTGACTCCCAAAAATAATCTGTAGATTTTTATCAAATGATTAATTTGTAAGAGTTTTGTTAAAATGTCATTACTGGTACACGAGATATTTTGCCAACACTGTAGTGAAACACACACAGAGCCAGTACTGCAGAGCCTCACACAGTCTGTAATTAAAGATATTTCTGCTTCCCTTCAGGAAGCTTTCTTACTTTAGAACTGGGGGGTTGGAGTTTCAAGCGTTACGCTGCATTTTCAATTAATGTCATTGAACAATAAAAACAAACCAGAGCCTAAATCACAATGAAGAAATAGTAACTGTTGTATCTAAAGTGTGTTAAACAAATATTCTTACTATTGACTGACCACGTCTGGGGGTTTGATGGTAACATGGCGTTTTTATAAAGTCACAATTCACTTCTAAACTGGTTTTTCCTCCTCAGTGCATGAAGAAAGAATCAAAGGTCATATGGGGTGGCTGATGGTGACCTCCCTGTGTGTGTGTGTGTGTGTGTGTGTGGGGGGGGGGGGGTGTTAGATGTTTATTTTTATCTGACCTGTGGCACAGCTGGACCCGTTCACATCATTACACAAAGTGAGGGTTAATGATCAAACCAGGGGGGCCCACCTGTCTGCGGGAGGCGGCCGTGGCGCTGCTGGAGGAGCTGGTGCTGACCATCCTCCCCCCCTGGCTCGCCTCCCTCCGCCACTTCTTGCTGCCGCCCTTCGGGTCGCTGGGCAGCGGGTTGAGGAACAGGATCCGGGCGATGAGTCCGTACAGAACCGTGGCCAGCAGCAGCGGCAGCACGTAGAACACGGTGAAGTCCGTGAAGTAGATGGGCAGGTAGTGGCTCCTGGACACCTTGTAGGCGCACGTGAGCAGCGCCGCGTTGTCGTACACCAACGTCTTGGTGTCGGACAGGAAGAGCCACATGACGCAGTAGACGGAGGTGAGCGCCCACACCAGCATGATGATCTTCTTGGCGCGGGACAAGGTGCACAGGAACTGCGCCTTGATGGGGTGGCAGATGGCGATGTAGCGCTCCACGGTGAAGGCGGTGATGGAGCACGAGGACGCGTTGATGCCCAAGTACTGGAAGTAGGTGATCCCCAGGCAGCCGGCGTACCCGTACACCCACTGCCCGCGCAGCGCGTCCGTGATGTTGGGCAGCCCGGCGGCCGTCAGCACCATCAGGTCTGCAGCCGCCAGACTCACCAGGTAACAGTTGGTGGGAGTGCGCATGTGCTTGGTGGTCAGGACCACCAGGATGACCATCATGTTCCCCACGATGCCCACCCCGCATATGAGGGACACCAGGAACACGCTGACCACCTTGTATTCAACAGTGTAGTCGGTCCAAACGCCCAGGGTCTGGTTCTCCTGCGTGCCATTATTCTCCACGGACAGAACGTCCACGGTGAGGTTTTCCATCACGGAGGGAGGCTGGACAAACAAAACTACTCTAAGCATTGAAAAGAAAAACTCACTTTTCCCGGTGAATGAAAACTCCAAGATCAAAAAGACTTGATTCTGTCCAGACCCAGCAGAGTCCGACCCGGTCCGTGTCTGTCCGGGAATGGACGCATGCTCGTGCAGCGGTTTTCATGCAGCTGTGAGAGGCTGAAGTTTGCAGACGGAGCAGAGGATGCTGCAGGCAGCTCCTCTCCTGCTCCTGGCTCACTGAGGACTGAGAGCTTCCTGCTCCACTCCGGGGAGCCTCTCAGTGACGCACTGACCCGTCCATCACCTCGTGAAGTGCTGTCAGGTGGCACGCGCACGTCCCTGGACTCGTCACCTGCCGCCGAAAGCACAAACAAAATGTATAGAACATAAATTAATAAACAAACAAACAAAATATATATAAATGCATTGTGGTTGCGTGTACGTGTCTGTTAGTAAAATATCTCATGAACCACTGGGCGAATTATAAGGAAACTAGCAGGAAGTCATTTATTTGTGCGCTTTTACACCTGATTTACTTTTGGACTCAGTGTGACACAAGATGACCGGCTGCAACAGCTGAGCTAACAAAACATACAAAAGGTTTGTCAGAGATTAAAAGTTGCTGTCAAAGTTAAGACTGATCCCTAACGCATGCTCTGACCACAACATTGCTCAATGACTTTGTGTAAAATGTTGCCACTAACTATTTGTTGTTAATAAATTATCTAATGAATCATGGGGTGGATTAAAAATAAAATAAAACACTAAGCTGTGATCACTGCATGCTTAACTGCATGCTTGGAGTCAATCTAATTAAAGATGGCTGTCACAGCCAAGTGACTTTAGCAAACACAGAAGAGCTCAAATTCAGGCAGTATTTCAAATATGGTGCTAAAGGTAAATTTTGAGATTAAAGTCATTCACAACATAATCTCCAAGTGTTATTGCCTAAAGTATTCACACACAATTTTAGCATTAAGTATTAGAGTTGATGCATTTTGTCTGTTGGCAAATTATTTCACACAAAAACATTCAATGAAACTTTCAGACAGTAATTACTGAACATACAGTATAAGTTCAACTGGTTGACTTTTGGAGCCAGTCCAATTCAACATGGCTCCCACAACTAATGAACGTTGGCCAACACAAACATGTCTTTATCTCAGTCAGCCAGCTTTACAGATGTTGAGCTAAAACGTGACGTGGTCGCTGAGAGAGAACTGAAAAACACAAAGCTTTATTTTATTTTGTATGTTTTGTGAAGCAGGTAAAGAGGATGGATGGATGGATGGATGGTTGGATGGATGGATGGATGGATGGATGGATGGATAGATGGATGGATGGATGGATGGGTGTTTTGTATGATTTTGTCGTTTTATTTATTTATTTTTTTGTTATATGTTTCTTTTCAGTTTTTTGCACATGTCAAATTTAACACATTTTTACCCGATACAAGTGATATCCACTTGCACCATTTATGTATTTTATAAGAACTTTAATAAATGTACACTTCATTTTTACATAAAAATATAAACACATGACAAACATAAAATATATATTTGTTTACACAACAATCAATGTGCTATAGTATGTAAATTTTTATATGTCACTTGTATACACACATAAATGCAAAAGGTGCACTACAATTGGAAAATATTGTGTTACATAGTTTGTGTGTGTGTGTGTGTGTGTGTGTGTGTGTGTGTGTGTGTGTGTGT